TTGCAGCCTGGTCGCCCCCCAGGGGTGATTTCTCGCTTTCTGTCTCTCTGTCTCTGTCTGCCTGGCGAGCGCACGCGCCCTATAGCAAAAAACTTCTCCAAAAATAAAAAAAGAATTAAAGTAAATGAAATTTACAATTTATTAATGAAAAAAAAAACATGCACGGCAGATTTCAAAATGTTTTAGCACTAACATAAAGTCGTCCTTTAATTCCATTTTCCATGGACTATGAAGTCCCCCTGTATTAAACATCTCGGCGCCTGGACTTTTCATCTAGAAAGCAGAGCAAACAGGATGTACTTGACGGGACTGCAAAAACTTCACAGAAAGCGCTTCGGCCCGGACTCGCCGCGCACCTGCTCCCTGAGAAACGTGAGCCCGCCGGGCGGCAGCGCGCCCTGCACACTCGGGTGGCCCGGGCCATACTGCCCAAAGCTTAACTTTGGGGGCGTTACCGGAGTCAAACAGTCTTATAGAAACCTAGCGGCTGATGCCCCCCTGGGGTCTATCATTCCGGCACCCGCACACGCCGGGACCAGGACAGACACGTGCAAACCCGGGTGTCAGGTGCAGAGGAGGGAACAGGTCCGTGGCAGCTTCTGTGCGCACCAAGGGGCGCGATGGCCAGGAGCCCCGGTCCCGCCCCTGGTGCTCTGGGGACCGCGGCCCCGGGAACCGGCTTGGGCAGCACCCCTGCGAGCTCGCCCACACGTGGAGCCTTCGCCCCGCACCCGAGGTCGGAGGTCAGAGGTCGTGGCCACCCACCGGCCAGTGGCTCGCGGCGCTGGGGCGCGGGGCCGTGCCAGGGAGGCCGGCCAGGCGGGGGTCGCGGCGGACAGGACAGAGCCCGCAGGAGCTCGGCCTCACCTGGAAGTGCTCCTGGAAGCGGATGGGGAGGATCTGCGCCATGGCGGGCGCCGGGGAGAGGCGGCCGCGCCCCTCTGCGCGAGAGCCCTGCCTGGGATCGCTCCGCCCGACCGAGGGTCCGCGGAAAGTAGTCCAGCGCGCAGCCGCACTTCGAGTCCCCTCCCGGGCTAGGGAGCGTTTTGCGCTGCCCTCTGCTGCTGCCCAGGGCGGGTGTGCGCGCGAGGGTGGACTGTCCCCAAGTGTGTGCGGAGAGGTGACCCCGTCCCGGGGTGCCCAGGGAGAGTGGGCGCACGAGGGTGGACTGTCCCCAAGTGCGCGGAGAAGTGGTTCTGGTCTCGAGCTGCCCAGGGCGGGTGTGCGCCGAGAGGTGGCCTCGTCCCCGGCTGCCCCGGGCAGCTGTGCACGCGAGGGTGGACTGGGTCCCGAGGTATATGTGAAGGTGGTCCCGGTTCCTGTAGGTGTGCGCAGGAAGGTGGATTCGGTCCGAAGGGGAAGGTGGAGGGAAAAGTGGGAGGGAAGGTGGGCAGGGTGCAGGTGCCCAGGCTGAGTGTGTGCTGGTGGCCGTCAGGGGTGGCAGCCCTCACAAGTCCCCAGAGTGAAAGGTCTTAAGGAGATATAAAGTGAGATAGCCCACCGCCCCTCCCTAGAGCCTCCCGAGTGTAAGGGAAGTGGGCGGGGCCGGGTGGATGGTGGCAGCTCTTCAAAACCTGGACTATTTTTTCTTTTTCTTTTTTTTTTTTTTTTAACTTTTGCTATCGGGCAGTTGGGGACATGGGGTGGGGTGGTGGTGGTAGAGGGGATGGGGTTGGGGAAGGCAGGTGAGAAATCCCCCCACCATTCTCCTCTCAGGATTTGGGATATGCATTTGCATGCGACCAGGGTGGTTTTCAAACTGCTGGGTCCAGGACCCACACCTCACAGCTGGCCATGTGGGATCCAGCCGCCTTCATTCCCACACCACCTGCTGGCTCCAGGACCACTTTTTCTTCAGGCATGTGACAAAAAACACGGGATTTTGGAAGTACGTGATGCATGTCTGTGTGAGAGTCAGCCACAGCTCCTCTGGGAAACGTCTTCGTACAATTTCTAGAGAATACGGCATCAGGTGCTCCACCCTGAGATCTGCCAGGATGATCTAGCAGCGGGGACCGGAGCCAGAGAAGATGGCATGGTGCCTGCGGTCCTCGGTAGGAGCGGCAGGGCACTGGAGCGTTTTCCCCGGCACGGGCTTGGAGACTGAGTTGTGCATACAGATGACCAGGCTGCACAGAGGGTGTTTGTCAGGGAAGGGCGGCCTTTGGCAGCCAGCTGAGGGCTCCGGGTGAAATCCAGACCCTTCTACCGGGTCACGTGTTTCTCACTACTAATTTTAAAGGGTGAATGGTCCCCCGTGAATAACACAGCGAGGGCTGGCCGGTTAGTAGCCAAAACTGTGTGCAGGAACAGAGCAGAAGGTTTGGTTTCGGGTAAGTCTCTTCTCCGCGGTTAGCCAAGACCTCTGCCGGCTGACCTTGCCACATCTGTGTGCCCTCATCGCCCGAAAGGAGAGCTGATTTTTGCTGGGGACATGACGACATTTTCCAAATCTCTCTGTTTTGACTATACCCTGTAACCCCGAGGACCCTTTCGCTCAAATATTATATAAACATTTTAATATTA